GCTCCTGCTGCTGGTGGCCGTGGGACCGGCGCTCGGCTGGGAGAGCGGAGACCTGGAGTTGTTCGACTTGGTGGAGGAGGTGCAGCTCAACTTCTACCACTTCCTCGGGCTGCAGCAGGTACGCCGGGCGCGCGGGCTCTGCCGAGGCGCCCCAGGTTGGAGGCTCGGGGACGGGGTGGTGGTGATCCCTTCTCTGCGCCTGGCTCCTGGGGAGATGCAGCCCCATCCGTGCTGGAGAAGGAAGGAAGAGGGACGCGTCCTCCCCTTTTTCTACGCCCACCTTCTCCTTTCCCGCCTCCCCGAAGGTGAGAAAGTAGCAGCGTGTCACTCTCTTGTCATCTTCCCACTTCGACTCACTTTATCCGCCTCCTTTCCTCTTCCCTTCCCGGAAGCGAGGAGTGCGTTTTGGCCAGTGTCTGTGGCGGAAACTACGCTCGCCCCACTTTTTGTAGTCTTCTGAGCCTGTTAAAAGGGAGTTCCTATCATGGTAGAAACCTGGAGGACCCTGGAGCTTCTACCGAGTTAGTCCTGGTTCTCAAGAGAAGCTGTTGGGATTTCGGGGAGGGGCAGGTACTTCGGGTGTTATTGGAAGAGAAGCCCAGCCAAGACTGCAGGATAGATTTCTTTCTCTGCTTTGCTTTTCGTGTTTTTTCCTTTTTCAGCTTGAGACTTTAGCTTATATAAGCGTTTATTACCGTGGGGGAGGCTCTCTATGCTCTGATCAGTTTTATTGTTCATTCTACGGAGACTTATTTGGTGTCTACTGGATTACTTAGAGTTGGCCTTTATATAAAACAAAGCTCATAGTCCCATAAAACAGTTTAGCAGGGAAAAAAGATATTAAAAACTACATAGGTAAATGTAAGTATTACAAGGTCAGAGAAGGCCCCTGAAAGAAGTTAGGGAATAAGCCATATGCAATACTTGGTGTGTCTTATTCTATTGGGGTTGATATAATAAAATACCATAAATTAGATAGGTTTTCTTTCTTTCCTTCCTTCCTTCCTTCCTTCTTTCCTCCCCTCCCCTCCCCTCCCCT